TGAAACACAACAAGACACTAAAACAACAAGACACTATGAAAACAACAAGACACTATGAAAACAACAAGACACTATGAAAACAACAAGACACTATGAAAACAACAAGACACTATAAAAACAACAAGACACTATGAAAACAACAAGACACTATGAAAACAACAAGACACTATGAAAACAACAAGACACTATGAAAACAACAAGACACTATAAAAACAACAAGACACTATGAAAACAACAAGACACTATGAAAACAACAAGACACTATGAAAACAACAAGACATATGAAAACAAACAAGACACTATGAAAACAACAAGACACTATAAAAACAACAAGACACTATGAAAACAACAAGACACTATAAAAACAACAAGACACTATGAAAACAACAAGACACTATAAAACAACAAGACACTATAAAAACAACAAGACACTATGAAAACAACAAGACACTATGAAAACAACAAGACACTATGAAAACAACAAGACACTATGAAAACAACAAGACACTATGAAAACAACAAGACACTATAAAAACAACAAGACACTATAAAAACAACAAGACACTATAAAAACAACAAGACACTATAAAAACAACAAGACACTATGAAAACAACAAGACTATAAAAACAACAAGACACTATGAAAACAACAAGACACTATAAACAACAAGACACTATGAAAACAACAAGACACTATGAAAAACAACAAGACACTATGAAAACAACAAGACCTATGAAAAACAACAAGACACTATGAAAACAACAAGACACTATGAAAAACAACAAGACACTATGAAAACAACAATACACTATAAAAACAACAAGACCTATAAAAAACAACAAGACACTATGAAAACAACAAGACACTATGAAAACAACAAGACACTATGAAACAACAAGACACATAGAAAAACAACAAGACACTATGAAAAACAACAAGACACTATAAAACAACAAGACCTATGAAAACAACAAGACACTATAAAAACAACAAGACACTATGAAAACAACAAGACACTATAAAAACAACAAGACACTATGAAAAACAACAAGACACTATGCAAACAACAAGACACTATGAAAACAACAAGACACTATGAAAAACAACAAGACACTATGAAAACAACAAGACACTATAAAAACAACAAGACACTATAAAAACAACAAGACACTATGAAAACAACAAGACACTATAAAAACAACAAGACACTATGAAAACAACAAGACACTATAAAAACAACAAGACACTATGAAAACAACAAGACACTATGAAAACAACAAGACACTATGAAAACAACAAGACACTATGAAAACAACAAGACACTATAAAAACAACAAGACACTATAAAACAACAAGACACTATGAAAACAACAAGACACTATAAAACAACAAGACACTATGAAAAACACAAGACACTATGAAAACAACAAGACACTATGAAAACAACAAGACACTATGAAAACAACAAGACACTATAAAAAACAACAAGACACTATAAAAACAACAAGACACTATGAAAACAACAAGACACTATGAAAACAACAAGACACTATGAAAACAACAAGACACTATGAAACAACAAGACACTATGAAAAACAACAAGACACTATGAAAACAACAAGGACACTATGAAAACAACAAGACACTATGAAAACAACAAGACACTATGAAAACAACAAGACACTATGAAAACAACAAGACACTATAAAACAACAAG